GGGCCCCAAGCTCGTCAAAACGGTATCCCGCCCCCGCATCCGGCGAGGTCATTCGTCATCAACCATGGACGCGGACCCCAGTTATACGCCGCAGGGTCCCCTGCATGAGATCTACATGTACCAGCCCATCGGACATGGTGTAAGCCCATCTAGCTAGCAGCAATATCTTCTGGCGGCGCAATTTTTCGTCCGCAGCAACACGAATTGAGTTCAGATTCAATAGACGAGCCATGACTATCTAAGATATTGCCAATGCTAGCAGCACACCCTCCACGTATCCAATGGTCAACCCGAACGCGTCTTCCTCGGACTCGATCTCATGCGCGCAGGCGCCGCGTGCGCCGAGGTGGCAACAAGCCTCCGTCTTCTTGCCCGAGCGGCGTTCTACCCATCCAGCGTGCCATCGTCTCACGTGACTCTGATAGGATAGCGTTTTGCCTGCGCTTCTTTGGTGAGGGCGTATGACCCGGTGAAACGACAGGCATGTGCGAGGCCGAGGTACCGCTGGTTCGGCCAACCTTCGGTACCCCCGACTCAGCCGTAATCTGAATCCACACACGTATACTGACATTCTGCGTTTTAGTGAGCCACACAGCTTATTCCAATAGTCTCTCACACTCGCCGACGTAAATTATGGCTGCACTTCTAGTGGAGACATCGCCAGCAACGCGTGTGCACCAGTACAGTACTTTGCCTGTAGTAAGCCACCTGCTTACAGCACCGGCCATTTCACTAAATTCTCGGGTTTGAGCGCTTACCAGCGATCCACTCCTCTCATCATACACGCGCCTTCCGGTGCCAGTTCCAGCATTACAGCTGGACGGCATTCCACCACGTACGATTCATCGCGCCACATATTAACCCCCGCGCCTTCCTGTTCCACCTGATATCGGCGCTCATCCGAGCTGCTCTACGCTCGTTCTTTTACGCGATACGTTGGCACGGGTTGGCAACTCAGGGCCCCAACGCGCGAGATTTGGGGAATGTATCCAGAACGTGTTTTTCTCCGCTGCATTCCGTAAAGTCAACGTGCACTTTCTTGCTCGACACCATCCCCACAGATACGGTTCTCAGTCGCGACGAGCTCGACAAACTCAGGCAACACGCAGCGTTTGAGCTCGGCCAGCGTACACGAATGCCCCTTAAACTGTTCGCCGAACTCGTTCGTTGCCAGTCACCCACATACTATTGACCAATTAAAGCACTTCAGCCTGACTCTATACGGACATGTTGACCGTCGTACGCGCATCGCCTCCGAGGGCTCGTGCATGCGTCCCACATCCACGCTTCTTAGTAGCGGTCATTGCCCGGCAACCACGCATCTACTTCTAAGCGCATCAAGGCTCTGCGAGTCAGCATAGCAAAATAAACACGATGCCTTTCCCTGTATCGTCGTGGACGTAGAGATGAAAACGATTTGGTCGGTGCTATTTGTCAGCCCATTAGGTGTGATCGTCAAAAATGACGGTGCCCACGTGTCTCGGGCCGAGTAATTCACGGCCACGCTTTCTAAAGGGGATATGGTCACCTCACACACGAATGCGGACGAAATCCCGTCATCATCGTTCGAGCACTGCTCAAGCGTTGTGAAGAAAATAATTCCGCGTCACCTTGTATTCCCATCCAAGACTATCAAGTTGATGGCCGGTGACGTTGCGTCAGCCTTCCGTAACGCGTGCACTCACAGCGAGTGCCTGCTCATGTTCGCGGGCCACATCCCCGAAGACAACGCGATCGTCATGGACCTGTCGGCCGCATTTGGGTGGGCAGCCAACTCTGGATTGTGCTGGAGCTTACGCGGTGCGGTGGCGTTCATACACGGGTCCTGCATCAACGACGCCCACCCCAACGGGTTTTATAACTACCACTGGGTCGACGATCACGTGAACGTCGCACCCGATACCGGAACGAACTGAGTGAATATTGAATATGGCCCCTAACGCGGGTAACGACGACAGGTACGCTCTAGGCACAAGGTGCTGGGACTCGGCTTCGACACAGTATTCAGAGCGGTTGCTATACCAGCGTCGAAGATTTGAAGGCCAAGCTTCTCGTAGCGATGGTCTTTCACGCCGCTAGCCTCGCCTCTCTCGTACCAAGTATTGGGACAACATCCCACCACGTGCGTGAGACCTGCACGCATGTAAGCCACGATACGCTCCCGCGTGAGCATTACTGCCGCACCAAGCGCAACGCGTTGTCCCCGACAATACACGATGACGGCCTCTGATGGTAACACTTACTCCGTAGCTCAACGGTGCGACCCTCGATGCTAGCCCCCCCCCCCCCCTTGTGGGGGCACCCGCCATGCTCGGGCTGGTCTCATTTATCTTATTTCCGATATGATAACACCATCTTCGTCTCGTTGTAGCTGAGAAGCATCGAGAAGCACTCGTCCACAGCTTTTGACCCGCCTCCTCGATGCCTGAGAGCGTCAACTTGGCCTGCATTCTCAACTCCCACATTTCCGGGTCCAAGAATACCACAGTTGACGCAGGATCATGCCGATGTGGTGGTATCCTTCACGCCTCTTGGCCATGTGCTAGCCCGTGTTTGATCACAAGCACTTACCTCGTCATCCATAACGGAGCTTGAGACAGCCTGGCAAGTCATCTCCGCGAACACTTCACTGGCGCCTCCTCCCTCCGATCCTACGCCCGTACGTTCTTTTTAGTGGAAGCAGTGGATCCATTGATGATCCATGGCCTGGTACCTACCTTGTGTTAGACGAGCAAGTGCGCAGTATATCTGACTTCATTATCGATGTATTTAAGCGCAGCCTCGGATCCAAACGGCCGGTTTAAAGCTCTACAATCAAGGCTGCGCTACACGGCATTTGCCATTACTTAACGCCACCGTCCATGACTTTCCCGCAGACCATCACAGACCCACATCCTCGCTTCTCCGAGTGCGCCGATGCGACACCCCCTCGCATCAAAATATTCCATGTCCGGCGCCCTTCTCGAATAATGCTTCTGGTCTCGCTACCTTCAGGACCCTGCGGAGCAAGATACGTGAGGGGTTTTGTTGCCTGGTCTATGCTTTCGCTCTGCGTCGGTCAGAATATGCAGCCACTATATACACGATATTTCGCTGGCTTGCCATCACGAGAGCCAATATCGCTATGGTCAGCGCAGAGGGCGCAATTATAGCGATTCTTAACACGGCATCGGCGGTGTTTATTCAGCCCCAAGGCTCCAAAACGAAGCAAAACAGCCCACCGGACACACCCATGCTGTAACGATCGCGGCACACACTCTTATGCACAATACTCGGCGCACT